GTTTGTATCTATTATGAATTGTGATCGGCAAAAATTTTCAATAGTCACGTTACACGAATCGAAAGTCCACTATGCTGGCTAATCTGACTCATCTCAATTATGTCACACAAAAAGATTAAATCCCTTGATTATGTCACTTGCAGATCAGCACATAATAATATATAATAATAATAATAATAATAATAAAAATATACTGTTTTTACAGACATTAGAAAATAGAATTATTTATCATGGAAAATAATAATACAACACAATTTTTTCATTGCCTGCTTTGCTCTAAAACATATGATAATATTAGAAAATTAAAGAACCATGAACAACTTAAGCATAATAATAATAAATATATTCCTCATCATCAACTACTTTCTCAACCTTCAAATGAATTGGTGTCATTTTTTTGGGACTCAATAATAATACAAATGAAAGAAAGTCTTGGATTTACCAGACATTCAATTGGAAAATAACACATAAAAATTGAACCATTTCCAGAAAATGTTTTCTTGTTTTTTTTTGAAAAAGAGGAAAATTTTGTATATTTTCCAAATCAATGTAAATATCAATGTATTTTAGAAGGTGTAGCAGGTGGCGAAAGATTGAAAAGCATCTTTGTCTATGATCAATTAATTTCCAAAATGAATACAAATACTCAAACTATTGGATATGTGTTACTTGAAGACATTGATGGAAAATATAAAATTAAAATAAATTGGAAGCAAAAAGAACTTAGAGATAACTTGGCCCTTTTTTTATCTGGTTCTTTTTCAATAAGTTTTATTTGTAATTCAGGAGAATTCATAAATGAGTAAATATTCAATATTATAATTATAAAAAATTTTATTTAATTCAATTTAAACAATTTTAAAAAAATTTTTTTTTCTTAGTCAAGAAAATTTTGCTATATCATCATCCAACAATCAATCAATCAACCATAATCATGAATTACATAAAATATATAATGCACATTTTCAACCAGTTACTGTTCATTCACATAATCAGCCATCAACCATCACAAAGTCACAACATAGAGATACTTTACCATAATTTCATTTTCACGTACAACATGTACTATTGAAAATCAAAACATTCAAACCTCTAATAATTTTTAAACAAAATTTAATTTTATTAAATTTTTTTTAATCATTAGATATAGTGATATTTTTACATGTAATTTCTTTTGGAACTTTATTAAGCAAATAAAATATTTGCCTATTTTCAAATACCATCATATCATAAGCAACAGGCTTTGTTTTGTTACCACCTCCCATTCTAGTGCCACCAAAAAACAACTTGACCTGATAAAATTGGTAAAAAAATATTATAAAAGAATTATTAAAAAAAATATTATTAAAGAGTCTAAAAGCTACAATTTTAAAAATGAAATATATACTTGTTCATGATTTTTTTTTTCAATGCTACTTGTTGAAAATAATCTAAATGAAAGACCTTGGTTGTTTAATTTACGCAAAAAAAAAGGTACATGCATTGTAAGAATATGCATATATGGAGTAACATCCTCCTTTCTATAAGGCTCTGGAATATGGCACACCATGCTGGACAAAAGGTATCAGCAATGTTGCAATCTTTTACAACAATTGTTGCAATTTTTCACAGCATTGTTGCAA